TAGTCTCCTTGTATTTCTGCTGACCCTGGCTAATTCATACCCTTCTCACATCTTCCTTAAAAGACAACTGCACTCTTTATCTCCAAGTCACTTTATCATCCTAACACAGAGGCCAAATTATGCCACTATCTTCCTCATAAATGCCTGTGGATCACTTGATAAAACCCAAACTTCTTAGGATGCTCAGCGCCCTGCATAATTTTGCTTCAGTCTAGCCTCTCTAAACTCTCTGTACTGCCCTTTAAGCCAAGATGGTTCTCAGCATCTCCTATGCTCTCGTGTCCTCTGCTAACAGTGGTTTCTCATTCAGTAATGTCTTCCATTCTCAGCTTAGCTGGAATTTCACTGTATCCTTCAAAGCTCAGGTCACATGCTGCCTTCTGATGGTATTATTCCTGATCCATCTGTTTTCTTCTCCCCTTCCACCTTTAAAGTTGATTTTTTGTTTTTGTTTTGTTTTGTTTTATATGTGTGTCTCTGCCAAAGTACTTTTTCATTCTTTTGTACTAGGATTGGCTATATACATGTTGGTCTCCTGTTTCATAGTGAGTTCCCAAGAGTACAAATCTTATCTGTATCCTTAACAGAACTGTGCAGTATGTGCTCAATACAATGACCAAGCTCCTTGTCTTTCTCTCTTTCCCTTTTTCTTTTACCTTCTGTTATTACTGTTGTTGTGTAACGTTGCACACTATAAAAGGGTATATAAAATGTATATGAAGAACTTAAAATATAGCATTAAAAAAATGTACCCACATGGAATACTATGCAACACTAAAGAATAATGTAGAATCCACAAAGCACCTCATAACATGGATGAACTTGGAGGACATTGTGCTGAGTGAAATAAGTCCCATCACAGAAGGACAAATATTGTATGTCCTCTACTGTAAAAAGTCAAGGAAAAGTTTTGTATGGAAGGCAAATTTCTTTGTTGGTTACCAGAGATGGGAGGGAAGAGGAGGGAAAATTGCTAGATAGGTAAGAGACAAGTATTGATTTGGGTTCAGGGAAAGGCAATATCCCAGAAGCAAGTGAGCAGCACAATAACAGTAAGGAAAAAGAAGACACAGAGAAGTGCACAAGAGGTACAAACAACAAAGATAAACACTTTCACATACACAATACTACATTATCAGTAATAACAAACATTCATCTACAGGTAGTTACACAGGTAGACAGACTGAATAATCAGATATGTTACAGCAAAAGGGAATATACCCATGACCATATATAAGATTGGCAAAGAATATTTCTACATATGTATTTGTATGTGCTGTAAGAACGTCCATATGTATAATAGAACTAACTAACTCAAATTTATGATAGCTTCTTAGCTACAGCCAACCACCCTGGGGGAGCAAATTGTTGGGCCCATGAGTTCAGGACATGGTCACAGGGGACATCAAGCTCAATTGGCATAACATACTACACAAAAACATTGTTTTACATCCTTTGGTGCATCGCAACTGGGATCTTAAAAGCTTGCAGGTGGCCATCTGAGATGCAGCAATTGGTCTTTCCTCATCTGGAGCAAAGAAGAATGAAGAAAACCAAAGATGCATGGAAACAATTAGTCCAAGGGACTAGTGGACCACATGAATGTCAGCCTACATAACCATGAGACCAGAACTAGATGGTGCCCGGCTACCACTGTCAACTTCTCATAAAGGCATCAGTGTAGGAGATCCTGTGTAGAGTGGGAGAAAAATGTGGAACAAAACTCAAAATCATAAAAATGACCAGGCTTATGGGTGGATAGATGGGTGGACCAACTTAGATTTGTCTATGCAGGGGGAAGTGTGCCCAGGACCATGTATAGGGTTGGCAGAATGTTTCCTTAAGTGTATTGTTATGTTCTGTAAGAATTCCCACATATATAGTAGAGCTGCCAAGGGACAAGTTTGTAGTCACTTCTTGGTCACAGCCAGCTACTCAGAGAGAGCAAGTAGTTGGACCTTTGGGCTCAGGACCATGGTCACGGGACATAAAGCTCAATTGGCCTAATATACCACACAAAAACATTGTTCCATCTCCTACTTTGGTGAGTAGCGACTGGGGTCTTAAAAGTTTGCAGGCAGCCATCTAGATGCAACAATGGGTCTCTCCTTGTCCAGAGCAAAGAAGAATGAAGAAAACCAAAGATGCATGGAAACAATTAGTCCAAGCAACTGGTACATCATTAAATCCTCAGCCTATGCGACTCTGAGACCAGAAGAACTAGATGGTGCCCGGCTACCACTGTCAGCCACTCAGAGGGGGGATCTGTGTGGAGATCCTGGATGTAGTGGGAGAACAATGTGAAACAAAACTCAAAATCATTTGAAAAAAAAAGAAAGAAAGCGAGAGACTGGGTTTACTAGTCTGATAGAGCCTGATGGAACTCCTGAGACTATGGCCTCTAGCTGCCCTTCAGGTCTGGAACTGAACCCACTCCTGTGGCTTCCAGCGAAACAAAGATAGGCATATGAGCTGAACATTTACATTAGCTAAATACACTCCTTGGAGAGATCAATCATGGGAGAATAGAAGGGCTGTGTATGCACAGGGAGACAGCTTGGGGGGCAGGAGTGCATGGGAGGGAATTACACAGGTAATTATGGGGAGGAAGTGGGAGGGGAGCTGTTGCATTGTGGGAAATTGTAGTCAGTGTCATGAGACAAAGTGTATGTGAGCTGCTGTATGGAAAATGAATTTGCTCTATAAACTTTCACCCAACCGACAATAAAAATTTTAAAAAAAGACTAGGCTTATTGGTCCAATAGAGACTGATGAAACACCTGAGACTATGGCATCTAGTCACCTTTAGGCCTGGAAATGAACTTACTCCTGTGGCTTCCAGCCAACCAGTAGACAGGCATGTAAGGTGAACATTTACACCAGATAGACATACTCCATAGAACAGTCAACCATAGGAGATCAGAAGGGCCATATTTGCACAGGGAGATAGCTCAGAGGGCAGGAATGCATAGGAAAGAAGGACACAGGGAAAAGGTAACCACATGGAGGAAGTGGGAAGAGAGCTGTTACATTATGAGGATTGCAGTCAGTGTCATGAAACTAGATAAAGAAATAGAATGTCACTAGTATCTTTGAAATTTCCTGTGTGTGCTTATCTAATCACATGGCCCTCCTTCCCACTCCTAGAGAGTATCACTATCCTAAATTTTGTATTGATTGTCTTTATTCTCTTTATGTTGTTGTTGTTGTTATTTGCCGTCGAGTCGGCCCCGACTCATAGCGACCCCTCCTTGGGTTTCCGAGGCAGTATCACTACGGAAGTGGGATTGCCAAACCTTCCTTCCGAGGAGTGGCTGGTGGGTTTGAACCGCCAGCCTTCTGGTTAGCAGTCAAGTGCCTTAGCCACTATGCTACCAGAGCTCCCTTATTCTCTTTATAGTGTTACTAAATATTTGTGGAGCTCTGGTAGCATAGTGGCTCAGGCACTTGACTGCTAACCAGAAGGCTGGCGGTTCAAACCCACCAGCCACTCGGAAGGAAGATGGGGCAGTCTACTTCCGTAGTGATACTGCCTCGGAAACCCAAGGAGGGGTCGCTATGAGTCAGGGCTGACTCGACGGCACATAATAACAACAACAAATATTTGTATCTCTGAACAATGGTGTTAATTTTGACTGTTTCTAAATTTTGTTTAAATGGAATCATATTGTATGTATTCCTCTGACTTGTTATTTTCCTTCAACATTATGTTTTGGAGATAAACACATACTGCTTTGTGAAACTATAGTTCATTTCTTTTCAATGCTGTATACAGGATTGCACTGTATAAGTAAACAGTATTTTATTTTTCCATGTTACTGTTGATAGCCATTTGAGTTGTTCACAACTGTGAGCTATTGCAAACAATGCTGCCACGTACATTTGGCAATTACCTCCTGGAGAACATATGCAAAAGTTTCTATAGGGTATGTAACTAGGAGTAGAACTGCTAGTGTGGAGAGTATGAGTAACCTTAGCGTATAATGTCAGAGTGGAACCAGTGAAACCGTCAGCAGACTAGAGGACAGTTTCCGCCTCCAGCCCTCCTCTATGCTTGGTATTGTCTAAGGTTTTAATTTTCACCAGTCTAATGGGTATGACATGCTATCTCCTGGTTTTAATTTTCATTTCCATGGTTACTAAATATGGTTACTCATCTTTTCCTGTGTTTACTAGCCATTTATGTTTCCTCTTCTGTAAAATGCCTGCTCTCACCTTTAGCCCAGTCATCTCAGCACCATCTAATTCATGGATATTTGTCTCTTCACTGATCTGCAGCACCAGCTCTGTCATAAATCACATTTCTAGACATGTGCAAAAAATAGATGGCTCTGGGTTCTGTCCCTTTGCTCTGTTTGTCCATCCTGGAGGCAATACCATGCTACCTTTATAATAAGTTTTGATATCTATAGGTCTTTTTTTCCCCCTTCCGACGCCTGGGACCTATCAGTGACACAGAGATGCTCAGTAGTGCCATTAATTATTTTTTAAAAAAAAGCTCAGTGGAGGGATGGTTTGATTACTAGGCCAGCTTTTTTTGGTTTTTTTTTTAGCAAATTTTAAAGTTCAGTTACCCATTTAACCCCCATCTTCATTGACAAAACCAAACGTTTTCATTTGACATTTACAATAATTTACAATATTTTTAGATTTTTGACGTAGCCTATAAACCTATCATTATTTCAAAATATAAGTCAAAGTAACAACTGATACCTGAACACTATTAATTTTTGCTCTTTCCCTTTATCCCATCTTTTAAAAATAGAGTCAAAAAGGTGTACAATTAAAAAAAATATATATATATTTCTTAGGCAACCAAAGGGGGGAACATTTGATCTTCCTAGCAGGTGAAAATCCCCTGCAATGGCACAGTTCTCATTAGGAGGCCTGGTCTTCCTTCAGCCACTGCACTGTTTCCCATTGTCTTTCTCGCTGAAGTACAGTAGTTTCTCTTTGTCTCACAGTAAACTTGTTCTCATATTTGTCCATTTTCCTTTCAGCCTCTGCCTGTGAGTTTCTGGACATTGTGGAGTTGCTGTTGCAGTCTGGCGCTGACCCCACACTCCGCGACCAGGACGGCTGCCTGCCGGAAGAGGTGACGGGCTGCAAGGCGGTGTCTTTGGTGCTGCAGCAGCACACAGCCAGCAAGGCTTAGTCAGAGGATGAGAAAGCCACAGTCTGTGCAGCATAGGGCTTCGGGGATGAGAGAAAACAGCAAAACTAATGCTCCTTTTGATATGCACTGGCTAATAAAATCATGACATTCTGAGGAACTGGGATTTTGAAGGCTCAGCAGTTCATTGTATTTGTATCCATTGTGGGGAGTAGAGTTTTGGTGATGAACATGTGTACTGTGCATAACACAATCCAATTCTGCTGAGCATGCTCGGAAATTTATCACTGCTCTGGAGGGAGGGGACAAGGAGAGACAGATCGTATTTCACAATATTAAACATGGCCGTGCTTTTAAAAACCATCCAGAAGCAAAAGGTGACCAACAGCACTGCACTGGCAATTAGGGGAAGTTTCATGAAATCCCAGTATGGGGGAGAGCAAATAACGTTCCTGTGGCATTTTGCACAGCTGGTATGAATACGTAGCTAAAATGTCTGTTCTTTGGCAGACAGAATTGGGAGGATAGGAAAGAAAAGGAATGTTAAAAAAACAAAAGAAAAAGAATTTTGTCAAATAAGGGAATATAGAAGTCAGAAGAACAATCAGATTAAATGAAAACCTCAAAACCTTAGGCGTTTTAGAATAAGATTTAGCAACTCACTTCAGGATTGAAACATGAATTCTGGAAAATTCTAATGTTAGGATACTTTAAACTCACCTTCACAAAACAGGAGAGGGATTTCCCCAGGGCCCTTTTAATTGCCTATCATACTGCTATCATTTATGGCAGCAGTCTCTGTAACTGATCTCAGGCTGAACCGTTAAGGCCTATTTGGTTCTAATGTGAAATTATCCATAATGCCCTAATGCCAAGGAGCCCTGGTGGCTCAGTGGTTACAGCATTTGGTTGCTAACCAAAAGGTCAGTAGTTCAAATCCACCAGCCAGTGCACAGGAGAAGGATGACACAGTCTGCTTCCATAAAGATTTACAGCCTGGGAAACCCTATGGGGCAGTTCTACTCTGTCCTGTAGGGTCACTATCAGTCAGAATCAATGGTAGTGACTTTTTTAAATGTCACTATTAAGATAACAAAGGAGCTCTGGTAGTATAGTGGTTACGGCATTTGACTACTAACCAAAAAGTAGGTGGTTCAAACACACCAGCTTCTCCACTGAAGAAAGATGAAGCAGTCTACTTCCATAAAGATTTACACCTTAGCAACCCAGTGGGGGTTGATATGAGTCAGGATCAACTAGATGACAGTGAGTTTGGTTTCTTTGGTTTATTAAGATAACAGCTAACAAACTTGCTTAGTGGAACCCTAGTGGACAAGCGCTTTATTGGCTGGAACTGACCCATCTGCTGGAACAAGCCCCTTCAGAGCAGAAATGAGAAAAGTAATGAGTAGCGGTAATGCTACTTTTTTTGTGGTTTTTTTCTAACTTGACTTCTTATTTTCTAAGTATAAACCAAAGCCATTCACCAAGATTACAGGTACGTGTCACTTTACATCAGGTTGGGCAACATCCGACCACATAGATGTCCATGGTCCCATAAGATGTTTGTTTTTTAAGGGAAAGCAGCTCTCCTTTTGTTTATTATTTCCCCCTAATGGTTTACAAAGACCCCGAAACCCCAGAGTGAACGAGCAGTGAGTCTTCAGGGCACATCCCAGTCCCCGCAGTGCTTCCTCCGCCACCGCCTCTTTCCCCTCCTCTTGGCTTCATTCACCCACCCAGCCGTGTGGCTTTTCACCCCTGGTGCAGAGCGGCTCTTCTGCTCCTGCCGCAGGCACTGGTAGTGCTGGCCAGGCCCAGGGAGCTCACCGGCTCCTGACTCTGGGCAGTGGCAACTGCACATGATCGGGAAGCAGCCATGCCAACAGGGCGGCAGCTGCCAGGACACCACCATTAGCCTTGCTCCTGACACCTACACACCCAGTCCTCGTGTCCATCTCTCCATGTCCCCCATATGCAAAGTCCAGATCCAGCTGCCAGTGCAGCCCCTACCCAGCCCAGCATATACCTGGCAAGGCTGGCCTCTTGTAGCTGGTTGAATACAGCTTTTGGGCTTTGTCCAGTGGGCTCCCATAACGTTTTACTATGATAGGCTTTATAGGGTGTTCTGGTTTCCTAGTGCTGCTCTGACAAGAATATATCACAGGCGGAATGGCTTTAACAAGCAGGAGTTTATTCTTACAATTTTTGGAAGCTGGAGGTCCAAGTTCCAAGTGTTAGGCTCTAGGGACTGGCTGAAAGCCCCTCAACCTTGGACTTCAGCTCTGCCTCTTGCTCCCGTTCCACTGGAGCTAGAGACATCTCTTCACTCGCACAGCTACTGGCTGCAGAGGCTAACAAGCCTAAGGTCAACAAATAAAATGGCACAGTCCCGATGTTACCAAACCACACGGCAGGCCATTGATTCAAGTCCATTGAAAGTCCCAAGATTGGCAGAGCATGCCAGGCTACTGAACAACGACACGGCTACATGCAGGGTTCAAGCATGCCATAAACTGGAGACCTTTCTCAAAGTTGCTTCTTACATACTGGAAGCAGACCACATCCCTAAAGCATCTATTCAGCTGCTCCAAGAGTCTACCATGGAGTTAATTACCATGAGGAATAACTACATCCAGCTGCCCAGCCACTCAACCAGGCCCAGCCAAGTTGACACACAAACTTAACTGCCACACAGGGATTTAACTATCAATTGTACAGGGACTACCTGTATATAATACAATGTTTGCACAATGTCCCAATCACATAAAGTCCTGTTTCACAGAACGTATCTTGGATGTTAAACGACACATACTTGTATTCATTTTTGAAATGATTTTTTTTAAGTATCTGTGGAAGTGATATGCATGTTAGTACATACTTAAATTTACTGTGATTCAACTACAACTTTCTCTTTTATGTATTGTTTTGCTACAATTTTAGGTACATTGCAACCTACTACTTAGCTAACTATCATGTTCCATGTTAATTGAATGTGTTTAAGAAACATGATAGGCTAGTTACAGTAAAAGAGACTGTAAGCTGTTGCATACAGTTTTTGATTGAAATTACTTTGTGCATTTTTCGAATATTAGCAAATCGAAAGTGTTTGTTCTTTTCATATTTAGGGGGTTGGGCAATCTACTTCTGTAGGGATACCACCTTGGAAACCCAAAAAGGGGTCACTGTAAGTCAGATCCGACTCGAGGGCAGTGAGTTTGGTTTTGGTTTGGTTTTACCTGAGCAAATAGCTTATCCCAAAAAAAGCAAACAAACCAAACCCACTGCCACTGAATCAATTCTGACTCATATCAACCCCCATTGGGTTTCCAAGACAGTAAATCTTTATGGAAGTAGATTGCCTCATCTTCCTCCTGCAGAGCAGCTGGTGGGTTTGAATCGCTGACCTTCTTAGCAGCCAAATTCCTAACCCACTACACCACCAGAGCTCCTTAAAAAGCTCTCGAGGAACTCCTTTTTTCATCTCTTTTGCAATGACTTTGATATTTCTTAAACAAGTTTTTAGTTACCTGTTTTGCCACATCTAAACTTATTTTTTTTAGGCTAAGAACAGTTTTTTTCATTAATTTTACTTAAGTTTTGAATTCACACTGTTACTAAATATATTAATCACTTTAACATTTTCAACTACGTACTAAAATGTTTCCAAAACTTCAATTATTTCACCACTAACACCTGAATTTTTAAAAACCCTACCATCAAATAACAGAAATCCAAAATAAAGGATCCAAATAATGGATCATCTTATTGTACCTTATAGGGAAGATTTTATCCATAATGTCTGAGAAAACTGGATCTTGGTTTGCTTTCATTCCCCTTAAATTATTGAACTGATGTTCTAGCACGTCACACACAGCAGATAATGGTTCCATTGCCAATAGCTGCAGTAGATCCTACCAAGCAAAGAATACAAATTCGCTCAAGTAGAAAGCTAGCTAACTTCCCCAGATGTGTGGTGAACAATGTTTTCATATAGCGGAGCAGAATAAAACTCATACATACTTTAATTTAGTGTATATTTGGTTCTGCTATGCATATTTTTTTTCCTGAACAGATTAATAATGTTTAAGTGAGTTAGTATTAGAAAATACCACAGAAAACCTTTTTATCAAGGTTCATTTCTGATCATATTTCAATCAAAATTTCAAAATACTTGTCACACACACCCTTTTTGTTTTTGTTTGTTTTAGTGTTTACTGGGATTAGAATTCAATTTACCTTGTCCTTGGTTCAACTCTCTCATTTGATATAAGTAGTGTATGTGAGCATTTGTGAATTGAGTCACCACTGTGTTCTCTAACTGGAAACTAGGCGATTAGAGGCATCATCAAGTGACTTACTAAAGACTTTTGTCAGGTTTATGTATAGTTAACTTTTTGCTACTTTATTGTTTGCATTTTCTAGACTGTGGCATAATGCTTTACCTACTCTTGCCTCATTCTCAAGTCTATGTTTATTTTATTGTCTTATCCTAAAGACCTGTGTAGATGAGTGCACACATACAAACATACCTAGGCCTGTTTTCCCATATCCTTTAAAAAAAAAAAAAAAAAAAGAAAGAAAAATTTGTTGCTTTCTCTTTTTCTTCCTTTTCTTTTCTGAGTCTACTAGGATCAGACCAACACCAGTGACTCTTTCTGTATTTAATATTTATTCATCATTGTTTGGGAGCTCTGGTGGCGTAGTGCCTAAGGCACTTGACTGCTTACCAGAAGGCTGGAGGTTCAAACCCACCAGCTACTCTTTGGAAGGAAGGTTGGGCAATCTACTTCCGTAGTGATACTGCCTCAGAAACCCAAGGAGGGGTCGCTATGAGTCGAGTCCGACTCGATGGCACATAATAACAACACAATTGTTTACTTTGCCCTACCCACTGATTTAAGAAGACTTGATAGTTTTCACAGCTGTCTTGGTATATATTAGTGGAAAATGAGGAAAGAGAATTATGTACCTAAACATCAAATCAGAGGCAAAGAAAATCATCTGAATCACTTACCTTCAGAACTCTTGCTTGAGTTTGTCTTCTAACTCGGTGTTCCTCATTCTTAGGGTGTTCCAGATTACCTTTCAAAATTATGAAACTCTTCCCCAGGAACACGGTGTTGTGTGTAGAATTTGAAGAATTTACAGATCTCCTGAATCTTA